TTTTTGGTACAGGGGATTGAACTCAGGACCTTGTGCTTGCCAGGCAGGCATGTTGCCATTGAACTCAATTCCTAGCCAAGCACTCCACTCTTAAGGGCTCTGCATCAGGCCTATCCCTTCTGTCACTCACTTCTCTTGGCCAGAGCTTGCCTCCTGTCTTTATACACCTGTGGCCACAGGGTATTTTAGTGTGCAGTGCCCACAACTTCCACCATGTTCTACACTAGGGTACAAGTCCATGGGGGAATGAAACAGAAACATGAGCTCAAGACAAGAGGAGGAATTGGTCTCTAGCTGTGGAAAGCAGACTGTTGGTGTCCTTCAGTGTATGACAGTAGCATCAACTATTACAGCATTTTCATTCCACCAGTCAGGGACAAACAGCTGTGCAACTGTTTTGCCTTACAATGGCCATGCAATGTGCTGGGAATGACATCAGGAGTAGTTTAAAACCATCATGAAAGAAAAAATTTAGTTAATTTAAAAGCAGATGAGAGTTTTCAAGCTTCCTCTAGGGGATTATCCAAGCACAAATACCTGCCTGCAGGAAGGCTGACCTCTGCTTCCTACACGGCCATGCTGGTTTGGGTTCCTGTCTACTGTATTTCCCATGGTCTCTCGCACTCCCTCTCTTTCCTGCCCACGGCTTTGCCTGCTGTCATGTCCTTGACACACAGGAGCTCTGAGTCCCCATCTCCCCAGCCCTAGGTGTCCCTGGATGGGATGTCCACACACCCGGACAATGGCACAGCTTGTTTCTGCCTGCAGGGCCCTGCTGCTCTCACCCTTGCATCTCCTGATGGCGTGGGTCACCCCAGCCTTGCCTCTTTCCCTAGGATCTCCAGGTCACGGAGTTACAGCAGCTTTGGGAAAAGCACTGGGCTATGTCTGGGTGCCTCCCCTGGTGGTACGGGGTGGGTATGTAAGACAGATGTGAGGCCTACAGACTTCACTTAAGGCTGGAAGGACAGAGGCAGGTTCTATCACCAGCGATGGAGAACCAGGATCCAGCCTTGTATGCCCAGCCACCGGCTCCCTTCCTAGGACCTGCTGGTCACTTGCTCCTCCTCTTATCTGCTCCTACTCTTCCTCTCACTCACATGGCAGCTAAGGCAGGTGGCAGTTCAGTGTTGATAGGGCAGAGGATAGGAGACAAAGTCATGAGACATAGCAAAGGCTAGATGGTGACAAGACAGGTGCTAGGGTACCAGAGGCCAAGGCTGGGATGGGAACTGGGGTTTTTCCTGGAGTGGGAGGAACCAGTGGGGGGCCAGGAGTCCTGCCTGTGCTAACGGCAACTCTGTGGCCCAGTGGATAACGGAGGGTGGGGAGGCTCAGCTGCTCTCACTTCCATTTGGAAGAGGTACTCCTGAGAGGTTTTCAGCTCTCCACCCTGAGAGTACCTTGCCCATTCTGGTCCTGAGAGGGTGGGAAGCCCCAGCCATTCACTCTGTGGGGCTCGCCCTGGTTTCCTGGCCCAAGGCTCCACCTGGGCAAGGGCTAGTCCCTGTGGGAGGACACAATGGGATGAGTGTCAACTTGCAGGACAAGGTTCTCCCATGGCACTGCACCAGTCCCTGCAGGAACCCACCTGTGCACCTGGGTGTGGGGCTCCCTCAGCCTTGCGGTGCATGGGTGGGCCACTCTGGGAATGGGTAGGGGTAGGAAGGGAACCCATCAGGCAGAGGCTCCCCGTTTGCTCCCACAGTGTGAGGCACCTGGCCCTGCTCTTTCCTAGATATTGTAAAGGAGCAAAGGCTGCAATTTTAGCCCAACACCCACTAGAGTGAGGTGGAGGTGACCATGCAGAGCTGGACGTACCGTAACATTTCACTTTTATACTCTGTGTTTCAGGGTGTAGCCCAGCATGGTTCCCCCAAGAGCCCAACCAACCTGCAAAGGTCTTAGAGGTTGGTGACAGGCCGGCTCTTGGATAAAGGAGACAGGCAGGGGCTTCAGCATAGGCCCTGCCTGGGTGCACCCTTCCAGAAACAATGAGGCCAGGGTGGGCCTAGACACTGCCCCCTAGTACAGTCAGCCCTGGCTGTGGCTCTCAGCTAAGTGGAACGGAGGCCTTGCTTGCTGTACAACACAGGTCCGGCTCAGGATGGAGCCGGGGGTGGTGGGGCCAATCCAGCCTGTGGACAGAGGCACCATCCTCTCACTGGATGGTGGTGTAGAGGCCACGTGCGACCCTGACCACTGACAGGATTGCATTTTTAGATGAAGAGGAAGCAGGTCATTTGACTGTTTATTTTAGAGGTAGGTAGGAGTGGTAGCTACCCAGTGACAGGAACCAAGGTCAGTGGCAGGGGCAGTAATAATTCGGCTGGCTCAGTGTGCCCTGCCCGCGTCAATGCTCACGGCCATGAGACAAAGTGGCTATAGGAGCCATAGAACAGAAACAGGAAAGCGGCTAGGCCAGCCCCAGGGGTCTCCCCTCCCCACACGTCGGCCGCCTTGCGTCAGGTGAGCCCAACTCTTCTCAGTCCTTTTGGATCCTGCAGGGTACACGGTCTACCCACAGCTGTAGGGGAGAAGAGGCACAGAGAGTCTGGCTCCCACAGCAGGCTGCAAGTGCACTCTTCCCCGTGGGGTGTCCCTCAAGGTGCACAGTGTTTCTGTCTTTAGGTGGCCTGGGGGAGGTGACATCAATGTCCAGGAGAGTGACCACTACAGCCCACTGGCCAACAAGATCCAAGCAAGCAGTGTGGCTGGACCCTGAGGCTGCACATATGTGTGGGGCCCCCAGAGCCAAGCCACTCACTTTTGCAGAGACTGTAGTTCAGGAGGTAGATCACACCCTGTGTAAACACCATTTGTAACACTGTATTCCAGCAACGCTCCAAAGCAGGGGTCCTGTGGAAACAAGGGAGTCTGTATCACCAACTCAGGGGCCATTTCCCTCACAAGAGAACTGCAACTTGGAATCCTATACGCACTCTGACTAGCACGTGAGGGTTCCCCAGCACAATCAGCAGGGCTTTGGGCCTGGTGATTGCAACGTTGAATCTTTTCGAGTTGGACAAGAAACCTAAAAAATATCGATCATCTTCAAATCTATCTTCACTTGAACGTACCTGGAAAAACACAAAAACAAATAAAAATAGTATTGAAGTTTTTTTGTCTGGCATAAAAAAAAACTTGATACTTGAAAACATTTTAAAGAATGAGGTCCCAGTATGACCCAATTTCTAGTTAAAAAGCAGGGCAAGAGTAGATCTTAGTACCATTCTGTCCAAAGACAGGGAGACCCCCAAATGCTAACAGGTTCCCTCTGGGTGGTAGGGGTCTAGGTGGTTTTGTTTTGTTTTTTGAGACAGGGTCTCACTATATAGTTGAGAGTGACCTGGAACTCACTACGTAGCCCAGGCTGGTCTCAAACTCACATCGATCCCCCTGCCTCAGCCTCCCAAGTGCTGGGATTACAGGCGTGCACCACCACACACGGCTGTTAGGTGGTTCTTATTTTCATTTTGGTATTGGATTTTTCTAATTTATCTGCAATTAACATGTACTGGTCAAGAATTAATTTAGAAATACAGAATGAAGCTTCAATCACTGGATGGTGGTGTAGAAGCCACGTGGTTGGGCAACTCCTTTCTGACACATGCTCTCTGCTCAACTACTTGTTCGTCAGCACAGACCCTCCTCCACATATCTTCCTGGGTCTCTTTCCACTCTTGTCTCCTGAACTTTGAGGTTTGCGTGGGAGAGCTTCCCACAGTCACTATTTCTGGTAGCACCTGGGCCTAGGAGTCCCCACCTGCAACATTGTCTGTGCTATGAATGAGGCCTTGCTGTTTAATACCCGAATGCCACCCAACACCCATATTAAGCAGGTTTACACACAGAACCACAGGGCCCAAGCTCAGACAGGGTACCTACAGTTGAAATGATGATCACCAAATATTCTTGTCCTTGAAACTCCTCGACTGATCCAACCTTTATGTCCATCAAATCAACATTTCGCAGAAGAATTTTTATTTTCTCCACCTTGCAAACAGGTTAAAACATTGAAAACAATGTATAAATCGAATCTGTTTACCTACAACAGTATAAATGAAACACCAACCAATGTGCAGGGTTGCTTTTCAATTCTCCATCATAGGGGCTGAGTGTGGTTCCATGAGACAAGATGGGCTGCCCACCTGACACTGATGGGGCAACTGATGACACACAAGGGAAAAAGTAACACTGCTCCCTACCTCAGTCTCATGTTTCAGTGCCAAGTGGATTAAGAATTCTAAATGAGCTGGGCATGGTGGTGCATGTCTGCAATCCCAGCATTCGGAAGGCTGAGGCAGGAGGATTGCTGCAAGTTCAACACCAGCCTGGGCTACACAGTGTGTTCCACAGCAGTCTGAACTACATAGTGAGACTCTGTCTCAAAAAACCAACCCCCCCCAAAAAAAAACACCAACACCACAACAAAAAAACCAAAAACCAAAACAAAACCCCCCAAAACACCCCCCCAAAACAACAACAACAACAACAAAGAATCCTAAATGTGAGCTAGGTGTGGTGAGCATGCTTTTAGTCACAGCTACTTGGGAGGCTGAGGCAGAAGAGCTGCTTGAGCGTAGGAGTTCCAGGCCAACCAGGGCAACAGAACTGACCTTTTTTCAAAAGGATAGGACAGGACAGGACAGGAAAGGAAAGGAAAATCTGGGTGCAATGGTGCACACCTGTAATGCAGCACTTTGGGAGGTTGAGGCAGGAGGATTCCAAGTTTTGAGTTCTACTTGGGCAATTTAACAAGACCTTGTCTAAAAACAAAACAAAACAAAACACTTGGGATGTAGCTCAGCACAAAGGCCCTGGATTTAATCCCAGTACTGCAACAAAGAACCTATGCATAAGCAAAAGTAAATACTAAGTGGCATTTACTTTAAAATATACATACATTTAAGACTTCCAGAAGGAAATTTTGGAAAATACTTGGTTATTTTAAGTCAGAGAAGGATTCTTTGATAAAAACACCACAAACCATAATAGAAATTGTTTATAGAAGGTCCCTGCCTTATGATGGATGGGTCAACTGAGAAAAGTCTGACTTCACAACAGTGTGAAAGTGATACACACTGATTAGTCACTACACTTCCAATGTGATCTTTTCTCTGGCCAGTGAGATGCAGGACAACACTCTCATGGTACTGGGCAGCAACAGAGCTTTGGCGCACGGTTGGGCACAGCTGGACTTCCGCATCCACGAACCCCCATATTCCAAAGACTCAGCCAACCAAAGATCACAAATGTTTGCAGGCCCACAATGGCCATGCCTGTATTGAGCAGCATGTGTGTTTTCCCTGTCATCACCTCAACAGTACATGTAACAGCTTTTTACACTGCATAGGTCTTGTAAGTACTCCAGAGATGATATGCAGAGCAGGGAGTTCATGCACAGCTCGTATTTGCTACGGGATTTGAGCATCTGCAGACTGTGGTATTCACAGGAGTCCTGGGACCAACCCCAGTGGATATGGATGGCAATTGCATGATGTGGCTAAGCTGTGACATTGAGCAAGTTAAGAGTACTAAATGCATTACTGCTTACAGTGAGGATGTAAGCCCAAGAAAATCAAGGAGCATCTGTTTGCATCTGACTACATTAAAAAATTTTAAAAATTCCTAACAAATGATGTCCCTAATACAACCACCATCCGGCCTGAGAGCCGCAATATGTGTTGGAAGACCACAGAATGCTGAAAACACTGGACAGTAGCTGTGGGGTCACTAGGTTTGAGCTGGCAGCTTTAGGAAATAGGGAAAGAACAGCTATTGGCAGTGAAAGGCTCAGACCACAGAGACCTCAAGGTGGGTTTCAAACCCACTCCCCTCGGGACCCCTGCTGGGCAGTGGGGATTCATCCCCAGCTGCACGGATGCAGCCTGCCAGTGCAACACTGATTCCGAGCACCGCCTCTAGCATGCCCTGTATAACTCACACATGGCCTGTGGAAGGGTTTGAGTGATGAGAAATGCAGGGTGAAGATAGTCACAGCAGAGATGTCAGAGTGCACAGGAGGCCCTGGACTACCAGGCCACCTACAGTGGGTGGGAGGTGGAGGCGATTTCTGCATCCATGCACAGACCTGCAGACCAAGGTAGAGTTGCCTACGCATCCTAAATTGTGAAGTCCACAGATCACTGCACTACAGCAGACTGTGGGGAAGACAGGACCAACAGTGTCCCTGCTTTGCATCTGCTACAATATCCCAATGCTTATTTCCTAAGCATCACAGACCAGAGAGCCAGAGAACCTCCCAAGTGGCCAGGTGCACAGGGCAGGAAGAACTGAGCTGTGGAGACTGAGGCAGGAGGGAACTGTCCTGGAAGTGGGGAGTGAGGGCTGGAGAAACTGCTCCAAAGGCAGGTCTTGACTAAGCAGGCTGCCAGCTGCTGGCAGATCTGATTGTTACTGTTGACTGCTCAGCTGTATCATCAGATGAGTGACTCACTTGCTTCAGGAGCTTGGGAGGCCTGTATTTGCTAGATTCTATGTTGAATATGGAGATGAAAAAGTTGTGCGGCAGAGTTCTGGCCAATCCCCAAGAGAAATCACACTTGCATGGAGGAACACTGAAACAAAGAACTAAGCCAAGTGTTCATGTAGGTCAGTGTGGAAGCCTGGAGAACACCCTGAGGTCTGAGCTGAGCCTAGGGTGGGTCAGTGACATACACACCAGGTGAGTCCCAAGGCTTCTGGGCCAACATGGTGGCCCAGGAGCTGGCTTCCTCTAGGAGTCTGCTAGAGCTCCTGAAGGGCTTCAGGTCAAAATCCAGGGAAAACAGTGCCAGCTGAATATGGAAACCGGCAAACTGCTACCCTCAGAGCAATCACATCCCTGGAAAAACTGACAAAGACCTTTCAGCACTCTGGAATCAACCAAAACCATACAATCTAAATGTTGATGTTTGAGAGACTAGGTGGTTGACCAGTGGGTGACAGCGGTGGGGACCCTGAGGTTCTTTGGTCTGGGGGCTCTTCCACCTGGGTGGGGTAAGGCCAGGCCTAGGGGGCTGTCAGTGGCAAGGTGATCCTGGAGACAGCGCAGGCCTGAAGAGCTCCAGGACATGAGGTGGGCTTGGTGATCAGCATGTTCCTGGCTGAAGCTGCACCGTGGCTGAGAAGACTGAAGGAGCCTGGTAGGAAACAGAAGCCCAGGAAACTCAAAGCAGCCTGAGCTCTGTGCCTGGTGGCCCCTAGGGACCCCTGGCCAGCAGACTTACTGGACAAGGCAGTGAGTACATACGCCACCCAATGCTTGTCAACTATGAAGCTGTGCAGACACACTCTGTGAGCCAAGTGCAAAACCTTCTAAAAAGAAAACTCAACAGGGACATCAGCTGCCATGCACTGAAAGTGATGGATGGTAAGGGTCTGAACTCAGGCAGTGATGAAATAAAGCAGCAAGCAAGAATAAAACTCAGCAATCAACTTCAGGGGAAAGCAGAATCCAAAGGTGCTGGACAGGAAATAGGTCAGACACAGAAAGATAAAGATTGCATGGTTTCTCTTATATGAGAAACCTGAAGTATAGTGAAATAAAAGAAAAGTGGAAGGAAACAGGGAGGTAGCTTTCTGCAGAAGGAGATTAGGGAAAGAGTGGAGGGTGGGGAGACAGTGACAGAAGATCAAGGTACTCATGTACCAATTTCCCAAAGAAAATGTAAATATCATGTATCATAATCATATACCAAGAAATATTTTTTTTTTTGGTTCCAGGGATTGAACTCAGGACCTTGTGCTTGCAAGGCAGGCAGCAAAACCACTGATCTAAATCCCTGGCCCTACCAATAAAAATTTTTAAAAGTTACTATATTTCTAAAATCCTTAGTTTTCAACAACAACAAAAAGACACACAAAGAAATCAAAAGCATGATCCACATTCAAGAAGAAAGACATTGAGCCTGTAATCCCAGTACTTAGGAGGCTGAAGCAGCAGGATCGCTGTGAGTTCGAGACCAGCCTGGGCTACACAGTGAGTTTCAGGTCAGTCTCAACTACCTAGTGAGACCCTGTGTCAAAAAACGCGCCCCCCCAAAAAAAGAAGAAGAAAGACATTAAGTGATTGCAGTAGTGCATGCCTATAGTCCAGCTAATCAGGAGGCTGAGGCAGGAGGATTCAAAGTTTGATCCCAGTCTGGGCAACTTAGTTAAGACCTCTTCTCAGAATAAAAATACAAAAGGCTAGGGATGTAGCTCAGTGGTAGAACACTTACCTGTCACGTTCAAGGTCCTGTGTACGGGGAAGAAGAGTGAAGAGGCAGAGGAGGAAGACAACCAGGCATTATACTGAAGCATGTTTCTTGGTGTTAAGATTTCACAAAGTCTTTGAGACTACTATCGTAGGTACGTCTGCAGAATTAAAGGATGCCTATGGAAAGACTCAAGGCAAGTACAAAGAGAGCAGTGGTTCCCAGTAAGGAAGGAGAGTAGTACAAAGAACCTGATGGAAGTCTCCTGAAGTCTGACAACTGAGGTGATGACTCTTGGAAGGGATCAACAGCAAATTCCAGATGGCAGAAGGAGTGAGCTGCCAGGAGTGGTGGCACAGGCCTATAATCCCAGCACTCAGAAGGCTGAGGCAGAGAGTTTGCCAAGAGTTCAAAGACAGTCTGGACTACACAGTAAATTCAAGGCCAGTGTAAACTACACAGCAAGACCCTGTCTCAAAAACAAACAAAAAAAAAAGAGTTGGGGATTTAGCTCAGTGGCCTTGCCTTGCCTTGTAAAGTCTTGAGTTCAATGCCTGGTATTAAAAAAAAAAAAAAAAAA